AGATTGTGAGTGGTGAGCAGTGATTCTCTGCTTTCTTTCTCGTAGCACTTGTTCACATTTACAACTGTGCTATATTTTATTTCAGATGCTGAGAACCCGTCTTCGTCAAACCGAAGTTTTTGTATCTCTTTAGAATATACTTTCTTTCACTCAGTTCTATGAGTTTCTCTTTTTTTCTGCTCACCCTGAATCCTCGATGTCCTCGCTGTCTTCCCCTTCTCCACCTTGATCCAACCGGAACTTCTCGTAGAGCCCCGTCTCGGTAGTTGGTTATCCCAACGCTGCCACCAAAATTTGTTGTGATCGGAGGAGATGAGGGGATTGGTACAACGAGAACTTCTCTTTTTTTACAAAAAAGTGACTGATTTATTCTCTATTACACAGAGACTTTACACTTGTTCCTTGTTACGCAATGCCGCCTATTCGATGGCTTACTGCGGTAAACTCTCCGAGAACTCGGAGCCACACAGTAAGTCGCAGTTGCTCACGATCTGCCTTTCGACGTTTGCGATCAATCTTTAATAGGGATCGATCGCGCCGATTCAGCAGCTCCGCGACCTTATTACGATTTCGGTAATCATATGTAGGCCGCTGACACGTGCTGCGTTTACACTCTACTTATTAATTACGCTTAACAAGCAGTATTTTCCTCACAGAAGAATGGTACTTGCTACATTTAAATTCTAATAATTAATTTCTAACACTTACTCCGTATACCACAACAATTTTAAACAAATTCACTTTCAATTTGCGATCAATTAGTAATTTATTAGTTATATAATGTAAAATATACAATAGTATTTGTTTGATCTATTTGAATATATTTTTTTATTCATAATAGAAGTTATAAATATTTTGCTTGGTTAAACGTGCTTCTTCATTCTTTAAGGTGTGGCAGACGTCGTGCATTACTTTTTTGGACAACATTTTCCATTAGAACTATCACATTATGTGTTGACAGAATATGTCCTATAATGCATAAAAATATTATTAAACATTAGCAAAAAATATTATGCTTATTTGAGTAAAATGTTTACTTACGAAAAATTTATATATTTTATAGTGTTTACAATTTTGATATTCCTCAAAAAAATGATGCACACAAAAATATTTCTTGCACCAGGAACAACGTATTATAGCAGGTGCTCCACATATAGAACGACGTGGTATTTCTTGTATATCTTTTCCGGAAAAAAAAATCTACTAGGTTTTCGAACTGTGGTGGTCGTTCTTCGATGTAACTACTTTTAAACCAAGCATATTTAAAAAGATTATGGAATCGTGGAGAAGATAGTAAATAATAATACTAATAATACTAATACTAATAATAATAATAATAATAATAATAATAACAATAACAATAACAATAACAATAACAATAGCAATAGCAATAACAATAACAATAACAATAACAATAACAATAACAATAACAATAACAATAACAATAACAATAACAATAACAATAACAATAACAATAATAATAATAATAGTCTCTATTGAAGTTCGGCCTTTCGGCCTAGAACCTTGGGACTTGGTTTACATTTTTCCTATTTCATCCACACTCTCACTCACACCTTTACTTCTCTCTTGACCTACTCTTTTCTTTCTCTTCTCTCAGACTCTCCACTTCCTTCATCCATTATTGCCTATTTCTTGCCCTCGTCGTTTAATATATCTTTCGTGGAGAAGATAGTTGTATATGCGTTAAGAGGGTCCTGGAGCGAGGTCCGAACTCAGCGCTAGGGTCTCAGCTGTTACGTGGGCCGGAAAGTGGCGCCCTCAGTGGTCTCGGAAAGAAGCAGAGTTGAGTTAGTCCGTCCTTTTTTTAAAGTGAGACGGCCTAATCGCGCTGTCTGTCGCGTTACCGGTCTTTTGTTGTACAGCTCGAGCCACCCAGCAACGAGAGTACCGAAGTGGTGGGGATACGCACACAAGCGAGAACCGCCGTCCGTGTGCGCTCGTGGAAGAGTGCAGACATACTATGTTCTGCCTCCTTTCCACTAAGCCGAGCTATAAAGCGAGACACGAGGCACGTTTACGTAGCGCGATTGTTGCGTATGACAGCGTGAAGTGCGTTTTTAAGATTTAGAATCTTGGTAAAAGTACATATATTATTAATAATAATAAAACTTCAATAATAACACCTCAAGATGCATTACAGTTTATTAATTATTAACATTATTATTAATTGTAATTTGGTTTTAAAATATTGAAAACATGTAATATATAAAGGATATTATTAGTGTTAATTGTTATACATTTTTATTTGGTAAATTACGAAAAGACCACATTTTATAGAATGCATAATCTTAAAGTATTTAATTGATATATCATATTATATATATGAATATAATATTCGGAAAAAAAATAGAAACATATGATCATATAAAATTATATATATGTGATCAAATTGTGCCAAATTTTGAATCTGAATTTATGTAATCATGTAAAATCAGATCCGAAATTTGACGCGATCCGATCACTTATATATAATCTTATATAATCATATGTTTCTATTTTCTCTCGGGAAAATAATTTGACTTTGTATAATAATTCAAGATTATGTATATGTACAATGTAGATTTCTTTCGTAATTTAAAAATCAAAAATATATAAAAATGAACACTATATATAGTGTCCTTTATATATGTGAAATGTTTCTTCAATATTGTAACATCTTAAATTATCACAATTAACTCGTATTAATAATTAATAAAGAAATATAATGCATCCTGAATTGTCTTATCATTATCGATAATATAATTAGTANTTTTTTCAAGATTGTAAATCTGGAAAAAGCTTTCACATTGTCATACAGCAAAAAGCGCGCAACGTGAACATTATCTTGTGTCTCGTCTTATAGTCGGCTTTGTGGAAAGGAGACGGAACATAGTATGTCTGCACTCTTCCACGAGCTAAATGACCAAGCTTTACATTACGCATACAGACGGCGGTTTTCGCTTGTGTGCGTACTTCTACCACCTCGGTGCTTTTGGGCCGGGTCGATCTAACATGTAACGCTTATCGCGTTTCTAACAATTCAGTATGTAAAGCTATATATAAAGCTTTCTGATCAATGTAAAATGTTTGATGACATTCAGTTTCAAAATTTTTTTGGAGTATATATATATGCAAATTAACTAAAAAATTATTATAACATCTATGTACACATATATACATATATGTATGCGTTTAATAAATGTACAGTGTTCTGTACAGTACTGCAGCGATCGCAATGCATTATTGTTTTTAAAAACATAAATACACATAATAAAATAGATTTTTTTGCACTTTCTATTCTTTTTACTTACGAAAAGTAATTTTCTTTGACTAATACATAATACGGAATATGATGTGCATGAAACAAGTCTACAAAGCAAGTATATTCCTTAAATAAAAAATAGAAAGTGTTGAAAAATCCTATTTTATTGTATATAATTATTTTTTAATGAAGAATAACGCACTATGATCGCTGCAGTACTATACAGAACACATACATTTCTTAAACGCACATATGTGTACATAAATGTTATTAATTTTCAATTTTATTTGGATATAGTACTACAAAAAAAAATTATGAATGTCATCAAACATTTTACATTGCTCAGAAAGCTTTACATATACATATTGAATTGCTCTCGAGACGCGGTTCAGTATTCGGTTGTCAAAATGTACAAGAAAAAACCGGATGAATACGGATGACATAGCGATTAGTCCGTTTCACTTTAATCAAAGGACAGACAAAATGAACGAGAAACAAGAAGAGATACAAGTATCTCTCTTCTCTCTTTCTCTCTCTCTCTCTCTCTTTTTCTTTCTCTCTCTTTCTCTCATATATATCTCTCCTATATACACACACACACATAAGTCTAAAAGCCAGCATAAGTGTGAGTGCACGGCTATGATACCCAGTAAACAAATTGTTAATCAGTCTGAAAACTATTTGCAGACTGACTATAAATTCAAGCAGAGCAATGTATTAGGAGCCATCTATTAAGCTAATTTATGTTGTTTTCAACAAGCCTGTTGAAATAAAGATTTTTAACAACAACAGATCTTGAACAGGTGTTTTTCGGGTTTGAACCGCGTTAGTGTCATTTTTATACCGACGTTTCGTGAACATTACAGCTCACTTTATCAGGGTTTGAAGAGCAACCTGATACTGAGATGCTCTTGGTCAGGTGTCCCTTTTTATAGCGCTAGATTGGAGGGAGGGGGGTGGTAGAGGGAGTGTAATGGTAAGAAGGAGGGGGAATGTATTATGGCAAGATGGAATGCCATAGTGAACTAGTCATATGTCCATTGTCTCTATTGAGATTGTTTAGATGTTTGTATATCTCCAAGGATTCCATATACTTTCTAGGGAAGTAAGCCATAGTTTTATTTAGTACTTGGGTTTGGTCGAACATAATTTTGTGGCCAGTTTCCAAATGGTGTTCTGCTAATGCCGATTGTGAGAAATGTTTCAGACGTACTGCTGACTGGTGTTCTTTCAGTCGTGTGCTTATCATTCTACCAGTTTCACCTATGTATACTGTACCGCATGAACAAGGTATTTTGTACACTCCTGGTGTGTCGAATGGCGGTCTTTTGTCTTTTGGATTGTTAAGAATCTGTCCTATTTTATTCGGTGGTTTGTAGATTGTTTGTATGTTGTGTTTGTTCAGGATTCTGCCAATCTTATCTGTGACACCCTTTATGTATGGGGGGTAAGTGGTTCGTTTCTTTAAGTTTGTTGTTTGTTCTGGTGCTGGCGTGTTTTGAGTGGTGGTAGAAGATTTATTTTGATGTTTTTTAATTACTTTGTTTATTTGTTGCAATGTGTAGCCATTTTGTTGTAAAGTGGTTTTTAATTCTGTGAGTTCGTTTTGAATGCTGTCTTTGTCGCATATAGTAAATGCTCTATAGACCAACGAGTTTATCACAGCCTGTTTTTGGGCTGGATGATGATGTGATGCAACGTGTAAATATCGATTGGTGTGGGTGGGTTTTCTATAGATTTAGTAGCTTAAAGAGCCGTCTGGTTTTCTTGTGACCAGAACATCTAAAAATGGAAGTTTACCATGTTGTTCTGTTTCTAATGTGAAGGTAATGTTTGGGTGTTGTTTATTGAGAAAGTCTAAAAAGTTATAGAGTTCTCTCTCCCCATGTTGCCAGATGACAAAGGTGTCATCTACGTACCGGAACCATGTTTGGGACTTTAGTGGGGCTTTTTTGATGGCCTGGGATTCGAAGTGTTCCATAAATATGTTTGCTATGATTGGAGATATCGGTGATCCCATAGCTGCACCTGTGATTTGCTTATAGAATTGGTTATTGTAGGTGAAATAGATTGTGATCAGGCAATGTTCTACTAATGATATAAGGTCGGATGATAGTTGACCTGAAAATTTAATTATGTTAATAGTGTCATGGATTGGTACCTGCGTGAACAGAGGTACAATATCAAAACTGACTAAGATGTCATTAGGTTAAAGTTTGATGTTTTTGATTTTAGAAATGAGTCTGATGAGTTTTTTATCGTGGTGTCAGTTTTACCTGTAAGGGGTTCTAGTTTGCTGACCAGGAAGCGAGCTCGATCGTATGTGGGAGAGTTTATAGCGCTTACTATGGGTCTGAGAGGTATGTTGCTTTTATGGATTTTGGGTAGTCCATATAGTCTGGGTGGTACCGCGTTTCTGGGTATTAACATGTCTGAAAGATTGTTTTTCTTAATGAGATTGGTGGTGAGAGTTTTTAGTGAAGAAGTAGGGTCTTTCTTAAGTTTTTCATATGTGGAATCTGTAAGTAATGTCTGAATTTTATTGTCATAATCTGTTTTATTCATGATCACTGTTGTATTGCCTTTATCTGCTGAAAGGACGATAATATCTGTGTCTTCATTTAATTGTTTTAAAGCACAGCGTTCAGATTTATTAAGATTATGAGTTGGCAATTTTGATTTACTCAGTATGTTAGCCACTAGTCTGATGAAGTGAGCTGTAATGTTCACGAAACGGCGGTATAAAAATGACACTAACGCGGTTCAAACCCGAAAAACACCTTTGTATGTTAATACAACACACCGCGAAAGCATCAAATATCAGATCTTGAACAGATTTGTCACATGATCCTTTATAGTTCTAAAATTTACTAGTTTCGGCAACTCTACATTATAAAAGATGTCTCTGACAGTATAAATTTAGAAAGTAGTCAGCAAACGCTAATTCCTTCTTTAACATACACTATTACGCGTTAACGAAAACACTTCTGAGACAAAATAAGATAAAGCAACATAACATAAAGCAACTTTATATTACAAGATACACTTCTGACACAATAAATTTAGAACATAACCAGCACACGTTTATAAAAACGCACCTGGGAAAAAAGAAAAAGCAAATTTCTGTTACAAAAAGACGTCTCTGACGCAAGAAATTTTGAACATAGCCAGCACAAATTGATTGTAAATGTTCAAACTATTTAATACACTACCACACGGTAACAAGAACGTCTTTGGAACAAAAGTAAAGCAACTTTTATGCTACACGAGACGCTTCTGGCACAATAAATTTAGAACCTAGCTAGAACACGTCACTTGTAAATGCTTCAAAAACCTTTTTCCACACGTTTAGAAAAACGCTTCTGAGCAAAAAAAACAGACAAAGCAACTTTGTGTTACAAAAAAACGCTATTGGCGTTTTTACAATTTAGAATATAGCCAGCACACAATAATTATAAATACTTCCTATTTATAAGTATACTTGCACACGTTTATATAAATGTCTCTGAGAGAAAAGAGAAAGAAACTTTATATCACAAAAGACGTCTCTGGCACAATTTAAAACACAGGCAGCATGTTGTTTTGAAAACTTTTATATTTATTAGTATGCACGTTTTCAAAAGCACTTCTAAGAGACAAGACAAAGCAATTTTACGTCACAAGAGACGCCTCTGGCATTATAAATTTAAAAAATAACCAGCACACATCACTCTACATGTAACTAAGTAGCGGAGTACATATCAATTTCTCATATGAAAATCAACTGAATGATTGTTTTTTCATCGGCAACTAACAATTGTTTCTGCTTGTGTGCATCTTATGTGCGTCTTATGTCCGTGCAGTGTGCCTTTCGCATACGATAAAGTGACAAATTGTGCATAAAACTAAATAAGCATGAGGTATACTCCTAAAGAATATACCGACATGATAGTAACGTACGGGCGAGCGGGCGAAGACGCGAATCTCGCGGCTAGACTTTACGCGGAACGATTTCCAGAACGCGCGCATCTTTCGAGACGAACAATTTTGCGTGTGGTGCAAAAATTGCGTGAAAGTGGGTGTCTCGTGCATAATTTCCGGGTAGTTGGTGCACCGCAGTTAAATGTTAGAGACGAAGAAAGAATTCTCAACGCATTTGATGAGGATCCCGGAACCAGCGTGCGTGTTGTTGCACGCGAATTAGGATTCTCGCGGAATGCAGTGCATCGCACTTTACGTTTTAATGCGTTGCACCCCTTCTATTATCAACGTGTGCAACAACTTTTAGAAAGAGATCATTTTCCAAGGATTTACTTCTGCGAAGGTACTGTCTTACTTAAATTTTATCACTTTTATTATTTTAATCAAATTTTTCGCGGTATTAATTTCTTAAATAAATTGTATTATTGTAATTATTAGTAAAGTATATGATAGGTTTCCTCGCGCAATGTCGGCAGAATATATCCTTTCCCGACTTTATTTTATGGACCGACGAGGCCACGTTTACGCCAAATGGCGTTTTTAATTCAAGAAATTATTTATATTGGGCAAAAGATAACCCACATGCCATCCGTACCGGTGTTTTTCAATATCGGTGGTCTATTAATGTATGGGCGGGAATAATTGGTAATCAAGTGGTGAGTAAAGTTAAAATAAAATCGTATTAAAAAAGAAATTTTTTGTTACCGTTATGGTTTTCAACCATTTTCAGATCGGTCCGTTTTTTCTGCCACCGCGTTTAAATGGGGAGATTTACGCGACTTTTTTGCAAAACGAAGTGCCAGTACTCCTCGAAAATGTGCCTCTTTGCGTGCGGGCAAATTTGATATATCAACACGACGGAGCTCCTGCGCACTTCTCTCGACAAGTTCTCGAAACATTAAACGCGCGTTATCCGGAAAGGTGGATAGGTCGTGGTGGCCCAATTACCTGGCCGGCACGGTCGCCAGATTTAAATGTATTAGATGTTCTTTTATGGGGATATATTAAAAATTTGGTAGAATATCGGCGTAATGGTACAGAAAATGAAGTACGTGAAGCTATAGTTGCGGCCTTCGGTACCATTACGCCGGAAATGGCGCACCGTGCGACGCGCAATATTGTTCAAAGAGCCGAGCTCTGTATACGAGAAGAAGGACGGCACTTTGAACAGTTTATGACTTAAATAATGAGAGTGGATTAGGCCTCCCGGGGAAACCACTTAAAAAAAACGCACCGTGCTATCTACCGCAAGGTGGTGAGGAAATGATAGCGCTCTCATTTCCTTTTCTCCTTATAAAAAAGATTATTAATAATCAGATATTCTGATACAAAATAATAAAGAAAACAGATTATTAATAATCTGATATTATTAATAATCCGTTTTCTTTATTCTTTTGTATCGCCGCTCGTTGCGTTATATCGTCGCGAGAATCAGCTGATCGTGCGAAGCAGTCTTCTTACCCCTCCGCTGCTTGCCGCGTACCACCAAATATCGGCTGCTCGCGAGAAGCTGAATCACGCCGCGTTTGCTTGTTTATTCCGTCTCGCGTTACTAGGACATTGCATGAAGGAAGCCATTTTTCTTCACAGCTAATAAGGGTACGCTCACAGAGTCCGGACTATCGCTTCCCGCGCGAAGCGCTCACTCTCATTGGCTCACATTTATTAATTAACTATTCAATAACTATTGGGAATTTTGCAAAATGAAACATAACTTTTCTATTCAGATTAACGAAATCTACCTTCACATTTCGGCTTGGACAAAATTTTTGGGACACCCTGTATATATATAAGTAGCACATTCTCTGCATAACATCCTGCAACACGGCTCTTAAGAGGATACTGGAGCCCGACCAGTAAACTGGATAGAGACCTGTAAACCGACGTTTTAAAAACTTAAATTTCTCTAATTTCTAAGTTTATTTACTGCATTACATAAAAAAACGCTTCTACAGAAGCAAATAAATATAAACAATTATCTAGTACTTTCAAAAATGAGTATATAATGCTCTTTTAAACTTTTTTTTTCATTCATATTGATAGCATATGATAGCATATGATAACCTATACTGTCATCACGATTTTTTTTTTTCTCGTTAAAGTAGACATTTTAATCATAATCTGAGTGTCTCATTTGATTCGTTTTTGTCGTACTTAGTGCGCTAATTCAGTGTAAATACGTATATAAGCTTAGAAATAATTCTACATACATAAATATAAGGTGAGGTTATAGAAAACTGTATAAAAAAAAATTTATGCTGAATTTTGACATTCCAAAGAACAAGCGCACTTTCTTTCACAATTTACTTATTTCTGGAGAAGCATTTTAAATTTGATGCAGTATATACGACACAAAACGAAAAAATAGAAACGTCGGTTTACAGGTCTCTATAGTCGGTATCCAATACCCTTTTAATACCGATTTGAATTTCATTTCATTCATTTGTTTAATAAACTTTAGAGTCCTGAAGATTCTTCTTCATGTTTATTATCAATTTTAAATTTACGCTGGTAGACGATGCGTTATTAGCAGATTCATAGATGTGCTAAGTATTGCGAGACAAACTCCAAGTGCTTCGGTGGCCTAACAGGGAAGGCGACGGCCCGGAAAGCCGGAGATTTCAGGTTCGACTCCTGGCCGAGGAGTTTTTCTCGCAATATTTTAAATTTAGTTAGGGGGATATACGGGGTCCTTCATATATGCAAGATGCAAATCCAGCATCCTATATGGGGGAAAAAAATTATTTCTACATATATATGTATATACATATTGTGACGTGACATTTTTCATGTCCGTCACAAGGACATACTTCCGGCCGGCACAGGAGGCGGTGAGCTCGCGTTTCCCCGCATGTGAGGGAGAGCAGCTCGTTAGGTTGCATAGCGCAAGCAAATGCGCTTGCTTTTTAGCGTTTTGCGATAATTTTGCGTTATTGTTGCGTGCCGCTCGGCGGCTATTTTGTAAGTTAGTTTCAGCGTGCGGAGAGCAACACACTTTGCGTAGACGGCGGATAGAATGGAACAAGGCGAAGAAGCGATAAAGATAGCGAGAAGTCCAGGGGCGTTAAGCGTCAACGGCACAAGATATTTGGCAGCAATTTTGACGTCGGACTCCAAAAGTGGAAGAAGCGCACTCCGATCTACCTAAAATCGGAATCGGAGCTTTCAATGGGGTGACAGGCTCGATGATGCTGGGAGATGAGCCTCAACAAGCTCATTTCATTGAATAATCAATGCGGAACGAACCTGATACGGCCAAGGAAAAGGCCCGAGTTGTTGTTATGCCGAAAAGTATGTGGCCGCTGTCAATCGCAGCGCCACGAAAGGAAGAATACGATTGGCTCGGCTAAATAGCGCGAAGAACAGCGCTGAGCGAAAAGAGCAATTGCCGAACAAGAAGAATTCATTGTTGCGCGTACCGTGAGCCACGCGAGTTTATCGTCTCTCACGTATGTCGTGATGCCGGTGTATAACAGCGTGTGCCGAAGGACACCCGAGGAGGACTTGCTAAAATTGTCGTGAAGGGTGGAGCAGAATGGTTATCGATTTGTGGAGAGCCGCCGGCGAACGTAAGTGTGGTTGTTTCTCTTCCGTACATTTCGCGA